CATCTCTGGGAAACATCCGCACACACATTCACACTCATACACTACGGACAATTTAGCCTGCCCAATACACCTGTACTGCATGTCTTTGAACTTGTGGGGGAAAACAGAGCACCTCGACGAAACCCACGTAAACGCAGGGAAAACATGCAAACTCCACACAGAAACGCCAACTGACCCAGCCGAGGCTCGAACCAGCAACCATGCTGTGAGGCGGCAGCACTACCTACTGCGTCACTACGTCACCATCTTGTATGTATATAAACAAATAATATTAATAAATTTATATTAAATAATAAAATAATAAATTATAAATGTGTATGCATATATAGAATTTTTGAATATTATTTTACTATTTTACCAAGTTAATATAATCTATAGGTTACTACTGAAAGAAAATATCAGCATTCTGTACATACTTTCAGTATAGCCCTTGCTTGAAATTTGCCAATTCAATCCTGTTCATATGAAAGAGTTATTGCATAGCAACACAAACAGAGCGTAGAAGTTTAAATGCATGGCAAAGCTCAAGGCATGCGCTGTGGGTCATGCTGAGCACTCGACACAGAAGTATACCAAGCTTTTTTCTTTTTTTTTTTTTTTACAAAGATTTGTTTAAAGGGCTCCTATTATACCCCTTTTACAAAATGTAAGATAAGCCTTTGGTGTTTGTGGGTGTGTCTGTAAATTTCCAGCTTAAAATACCCATCAGATTAGTTATTAGACAATGCTGAATATGCCCATTTTGGGCTCAGAGGAAAGTGTATCTGTTTTTGTAGCCTGTGCCTTTAAATGCAAATAAGCTGGTTCTTCCCGCCCGTCTGTTCCCACATACGTTTGTTTCTACTGCACCATTTCAGATAAACAGCTCAAGTGATGGAGAAAGACACAGATGAAGCAAATTCAGGATTCAGTTTATGGAGCATGAATTCAGTTTATGAGTCAAATATACCAAGTAAGGTTATTTGATATGTTTGCGGTGGAGTTTATTCAAGTTTTTCTGCAATGAAGAATCACACACAAATGCCATTACAAAGTTTGCAGTCCAAATGCAGTTCATCAGAGCAGTCAAACAGGCAGGGGTTGAAAGCCAGCATACAGAGCAATATAGAAAATCTAAAATGTAATCGATATAACATGCAAAAAGTTGAGACAGGTGGCAAGAATAAAAAAAAGACAAACAAAGCAAAGGATCAAAAACACAGAATGATAAAACACAAGGCTGACCGCTTAGTAATGCAGCAACAGCTAACAAGCCTCAGCAACGGAGGTGAATGTAAATGGTAAAAATAGTGTGTAATCAGTGTAAATGATCTCCAGCTGTGTGTGCGTGTGCGTGTCTGTCCAGATTATTGTCAGCTGTACCAGGAGTTGATTGGTGCAATGTCTCATGGGAATTGTAGTTGAGGTGAGGGTACAGGGAGTGATCTCCAGTGAGGGCAATCACAACAGATATCCATTATGCTACTGTACAAAAAAAAAAAAACTTGATTTAATGTTCTCAAACCGGGAGTCCTGTTGTGTGTTTGAAATGTCCTCATATAGTTGTACTGACATTGTGCAGCTGTGCAAATTCAAGCGGTTATGAATTACATTGTAATTTTTATATTTCAATTATGCACTGTTTTAAAAACTCGTAAAACTCAATCTTGAGATGCAGATGATCCCAGAGATTTAGAAATATATTTTAATCCCAATTTCTTTGCAAATCCTGTTTTGTGGACATGTGTATAGGCATTACGATGGAGACATGTACACTGGGATTTGGATCCTATGTTAACGTCAGGGAATTAAAAAAAAGAAACTGTGTGTTTGTGTTTGTATCATTCCAGTATGACTGTGGACACTCTATGCCTACACACAGTTTTGTCCAAACATCTTCAAAAAGTTGATTTTGCACATAGGTGCCCTTTAATGAATGAACTTAAATGTAAGTTATTACTCCGGTAAACGTCTCTATGGAGAAGCAATAGGCACAAAAGAATCGCTGACTCCAAATTTGCATTCGTTACAGTCATGTCATTACAGGTAAATGAAATTTAAAGGGCACCTATGATGAAAATCAACTTTTGTAAGTTGCTTGGAAAGAACTGTTTGTATGTATGGTGTGTCCACAGTCATACTGGAGTGTTATAAACCCAAGAAATCTCTTTTTTAAAGTTTCCTGACATTAAAATGGTGTTTGTGTGTGACTCATCATTTCAGAAAGGCTTGAATAAACTCCACCACACATGCTTGAAATAAACTTGTTATTTCTGACCAATGAGCTGTATTTTAGCTTCATCCAAATATGTCTCTGTCACTGTGCTGTTTAGCTGACGTAACCATAGACTGTTTAAGATATGGACAGAGTATCTGTGACGTCACTCATAGGTTTCTGAAGAACCTAAAAGAAGTTACCAGCTATCGCCGTATTGTTCGCGCGTCATTGCACCGCCCTGGGAACACCAAACAAGGCCAAAGATGCGGATCATGAGCGGAGCTACAGACGCCTGCTAGCACTTTGCTTAAAACTTCATTTCTTCAACTCGTTGTGTTCTGACCACATGTGCTTGGTTGCATACTATATCAATAAAGTGTTTAGACTTTTAAAAACACTGTTGTAATACATTGAGCCACTAAACATTAGGTTCGTCCCAAATCACATACTTATGCAGTATTCTATGCCATTTTGTAGTATAAATAGTGTAAGTTGTGCGTTCACACAAAAAACGTAAAAAATATTAAGTGCACTTTAATTACCTGGATGATGAACTTATTCTTTGCTCACATAGCGGAAGGGGCGGAGCTATCGGGCGCACGTGTTGGATAAGTTTATTTATTTTGGATTGTGAAAGCAAAATTCTCCTATGAGAGGGATTGTAGCACGTCTTTATAATTAATTTGGTTATACTCATGGCAGGTATTCTTGGGTAGTTCACTAATTTGGCAACCGTCAAACATCATCTGGGAAGTGGTTTGAATTTTCGCTTAGTAAAAAAACATTAGTGTTCCATTTGGGACGACACTACATACATATACTATGCTGTTGAGTGTGTAAGTGCACAAGTAGTGCATGAGTGCTTATTGTATAGTGTGCCATGTGGGAAGCAGCTACAGTTCTTATAACGTTTTTTTTTTTTTTTACTGTAGGGAAACGCAAATTACTTCCAAATTCTTTAAATATAGTCTGTGTTAGTAAAAAGGTTATTTATGAAATCCAGGCATAACACTTTATGACAGCATTTCAAATGAATGTTCTAGAGCAGGGGTGGGCAAACTCAGTCCTGGAGAGCTGGTGTCCTGCACAGTTTAGCTCCAGCTCTAATCACACACACCTGCTTATAGATTTCTAGTGATCTTGAAGACACTGATTAGTTTGTTCAGGTGTGTTTGACTAGTGTTGGAACAAAACTCTGCAGGTACACCGGCCCTCGAGGACCAAGTTTGCCTATCCCTGTTCTAGAGCCTACAGCTAATCAATCTTTCAGTTTCTGGAGTGCTTTACAGGTCTAAAGAAAAATATAAATGATAAATGATCTTAAATAAAACAAATACATTTATAGAGATGGTATATAAGTATATAATTTTACTTGCCTGGGAAACAGAGGCCGCGTGAATGGTTGGAGAAAATCTAATATAAAGGAAACAGATGAGTTATAAAAAAAAATCACCCCCTCACAGTTGTCATGAAGGGTAATATTAACTATATGAACCAAAATCATTCTTTGTGTCAGGCTGTAAAAACCTTTTTGTCTGCTGTAAAGTTGGCCATTTTAAAAGTGGGGTCAATAGAAATTTGCTGTATTATGGATCCAGGACTAGTGGAATTTCAATGAATTGCAGTTTCAGTTACTTCCATATTTGCTTCATGAGGGAGAGCAGGAGGTTGCTACTTGGACATAAATGAAGCAGACACGCACGTGGAAACGGTGGGTGGGGAGAACCAGCTCATTTGCATTTAAACCCACAGGCTACAAAAACAGCTACACTGGGCAGATTCTGGAGTCTATAATAAATGATCTGATGGATATTTTGAGCTGAAACTTTACAGACACATTCTGACCAAAAGGATTATCTTACAACTTGTAAAAGAGGTAAAATAGGTGCCCTTTAAAACAGTTCACTATCAATGCTTTTGCGAAACACACCCCAGATCAGTCCAGATTATGAATCATTTCACACTGGTTTTGTTCATCAAACGAAACAAATATTTTATGATCATCTGTTCGCCATGAATCTGATCATGGTTTCACATTACTGTGCCAACATTTTGATTGAATGAAAACTTTAATTTATCTGTTAAGCAATGAAAGCTAACATTTGACTGTATAAACATATTATATGATTTTTTTGGATCTGTTAGCTAAATTCAAAGTGTATTCTCAGAGATTTTGGTGTCATTTTTAAATTCATGAGTTTGCCTGTACACTCAGTCATGGTAGACGATGATCAACAAACTTGGCTTGCTGTCTTCAAAAGGAGGTTCGACCCTCTTGTCCAGTGATCATAGTTCAAAGCAAGCACATCACATGAATAGCCTGTTTTTTCCACCAGTATATCACTACTACTACTACTACTACTACTACTACTACTACTACTACTACTACTATTACTACTACTACTACTACTACTACTACTACTACTACTACTACTACTACTACTACTATTACTACTACTACTACTACTACTACTACTACTACTACTACTACTACTAATAATAATAATAATAATAATAATTATTATTATTATTATTATTATCATCATCATCATCATACAAGCCCCAGTCTGTTTGAATCCAGATCCTGTATGTTGTTCAACTAACTGTGACCACAAGAGAGCCCATATTAAGGTCAGTGTACTCCTGGAGTGACAAAAACAAGGTCATGTCTTTCCAAAAACTTTTTTTTGACACTTTTTTCAAACTTACATCCACGACAGAACATTTAAACTGGTGTGTAATGTAATTAAAGCTGCTCTGCTTTTCTCACAGAGATTATTTGTTGTGTAACTTGTTGTTGTAGGAAGCCGGACGATACCCTGCTTACAAGGAGATGGTGGCGGAGTATAGCTGGCTTAATAAATGTATGTAAACATTACCTACTTAACATACTATTTAATGTCTAATCTCTTTAATTACTCTGTTGCAAATGTAAAAACATTGGTTGTGTGCTGTTTGTGTGACCCCTACATTTGCACTTATGTAAGAAACCCAGTTATTAAATCAAAAGTATGCATTGGGATGGTTCATCTCCAGATTAAACCAAAAACGGGCCACATGTCACATGTCACATGCCAGATTTTTTTTTTTGCTCTCTGATTTTCTGTTTTCCATTTAATATGGATGGCAGTGTCTGAAAATAGCAACGGATTAGGCCGTAATGTTCAGATTCAGATAAATCATCCGGGATTGCGCGTGTTTGTAACATCAGGGTGATTCTGGGGTATTTAGGTTGTGGGACAGAAGCTTGTGTAGTCGTGCTTCACATTTAACACTACTGACATTGATATAATGTTTGCCCAGAAGAAAAATGATATGGAGAATAATTACAGGCATTTAGGTCTGTATGATTTTTTTTTCTTTTTTAAACATGATTTATCTATTTGAATTCATTTTATTGAAGTACTAATCTCATAAATATTAAATGTTTTATTTTATTTTCACAAAGGTTACCATTATTAATCAAACACGGTAACTTGCAATTGCTACCTTCAGGAGGAGTTTTTGCAAATAAAATAAAATAAAATAAAATAAAATAAAATAAAATAAAATAAAATAAAATAAAATAAAATAAAATAAAATAAAATAAAATAAAATAAAAATAAGGCGACGCAGTGGCGAAGTAGGTAGTGCTGTCACCTCACAGCAAGAAGGTCGCTGGGTCACTGGTTCGAACCTCGGCTCGGCTCAGTTGGCGTTTCTGTGTGGAGTTTGCATGTTCTACCTGCGTTCACGTGGGTTTCCTCTGGGTGCTCCGGTTTTCCACACCGTCCAAAGACATGCGGTACAGGTGAATTGGGTAGGCTAAATTGTCCGTAGTGTATGAGTGTGTGTATGAATGAGTGTGTGGATGTTTCCCAGAGATGGGTTGTGGCTGGAAGGACATCCGCTGCGTGAAAACTTGCTGGATAAGTTGGTGGTTTATTCCGCTGTGGCGACCCCTGATTATTAAAGGGACTAAGCTGACAAGAAAATGAATGAATAAATTAATGAAAATATAATAAAATAAATTCATATTGATTTAATTTATTTAATTTTATTTTACAAAGATTACGATTATCAGTCAAATATGGTAACTTGCAATTGTTACTTTCAAGAGGAGTTTAATCTATTAAAACAAAATTTAATTTAATTTAATTTAATTTAATTTAATTCTACAGTAAAAAGAATAAAAATAAATTGATTTGTTTATTAAGTAATAAGTTTTTCTGTTTACTAATATTTTGACTAGATTAAAACCAGTTAGCTTTATATTACACTCTCAGAAAAAAGGTACACAGTGGTACAATAATGTTCTCATATACAAGGTACAAAAAGGTTGAGCAACTCCTTTATTACAACACCTATGAAAATAAATATGACTGAAAGTGATTTTATTAATAGTTTACATATTACACCAAGAATCATCATTTAAAAGAAACTTTTAACGAAACTTATAAACATTAATTATTAAGTTCTATAATACAATAATATAAAACAACTGGTAAAACATAACGCTTTAGGCATTGTAAACTAAATGTTTAAAGCATTTTAAATAAATGTTTAAAGCATTTTGACAGTGTTAAGGTACAAAGTGTCTTGTCACTGTGGTGGTACCTTCATGGATCATATTTGAACCTTTGATAAAGATACAAAATTGTTTCTGCAGGTTTTAAAAACCAAGGGTACCTTTTGGTTTCCCATGGTACAAATCATGTCCTTAAAGGTACAAACTGCAAGGGTTTGTATCTTCTCTGGCTCAACATTGCATCTTTTTTTCTGAGAGTGTACCTTTATACTTTTACTCAGTAAAGGGTAAGTTAATGAAGAGAAATAACTTTTAAACAACTTAATTTCTATGTAACTTATCAAAGTTACAAATTATTTTATTGCAATACATAAAAGTTCCATTCAAAATTGGACTGTGAATGACGGAGCTCCAGTGAAATGATCCATAAAAAACGTAAACTTTCTATTTTTCCCTTTCAGTGGCGAACGGAGGTCAGCCGTCGTCCTCTCAGGGCTCAGATTCATACTCCTCCACTTCTTCTCTGTCATCCGGGACGCCGGTCAGCTCTCTCAGCGGCCTCTCGCAGGTCATGTTTCCTCCTGCTTTCGGCTCAGAGATGGTGGACGTCTGCATCTCCACTGAGGATCGCTCGCGGCGGCCCAGCTCAGAGCGAATAGAAACTGCTATTCAGACTGACCCACAGGATCCCGATACCATATCCCGAACCAGCAGAGTCATGTCCACAGAAACTAGTCGAATGGTAGGAGAAACCGTCCTGTTGAAAGACACTGTAATCCGCAGAGGGACAGCCCATTCCCGGACAAGGACCTTTTCTGCTGGGGATAAAGAGACTCTGGACTCTCCTAAAACTGCTGTCCTGATGGCTCTCAGCAAGCCTCGGAAAGCCATCCGACGATCCCAGAGCCACATCACTGTGTCAGGTACAGTAAAACTGCTCTGTCAGAAAGATGTAGATCAAGGGTAGGGATGAATCAATGAATGAAGATCCTCAGATTGTTTGAAATCTTTATCTAAAATGATTTATGTTTTACCATTTCCACAAAATGATAAAGTTGCCATACAGTGCATTGATTCAATATTGTTAAAATAATGGAAGTATTATATTAATGTTTAATCAATATTCAGTATTGATAATATTTAATGTGTAAAGTATTGACCTATAGGTAACTTACAAAAATCTTCAGAAATGGGCTAATATTCACATTCTCAGCCACATGAATTACCCATAGAAGAAAAAACACTGTTTTGACCAAATTTAGAACAGATGAGAGTTTACTCTGATGTGCTGCAGCTTATATGGAGCCAGATCAGTCTCAAAAATAATACATTTACAATTCACATTTACAAAATTGAATTCCAAACACAATTCATAAATACACAGATTCATTTCATAAATTCAAAACACAATTTATAGATGTGCAAATCCAATTTATAGATTTAAAACACAATTCATAAATACACAGATTCAACTTGTAAATACAAAATACCATTTAAAAATGTGCAAATCCAATTCGTAAATTCAAAACACAATTCATAAATGCACAAATCCAATTTATAAAATAAAAACACAAATCAAAAATGTGAAAATCGATTTTTTAAATTCAAAACACAATTCATAAATGCCCAAATCCAATGCATAAATTCAAGACACAGTTCATAAATATGTAAATCTAATATAAAAATTAAAAACACAATTTATAAATGTGCAAATCCAATTCATGAGTTCAAAATAAAATTCATAATAATAATGCAAATCCCATTAATAAAATTAAAACTCAGTTTGTAAATTCAAAACAGTTCATAAACACAACTAATCCAATTAATAAATTCAAAACACAATTCATAAATACACAAATCCAATTAATAAATTCAAAACACAATTAATAAATATGCAAATCCCATTTATAAATTCAAAATATAATTCATAAATGCTTAAAACTAATTCATAAATTTAAACCAATTTATAAATTTAAAACACTACTTGTAATTTCAAAACAATTCATAAATGCGCAAATCCAATTTGTAAATTCAAAACACAATTCATAAATATGCAAATTTAATTCTTACGTTTAAAACACAGTTCATAAATACGCAAATCCAATTTATAAATTCAAAACACAATTCATAAATATGCAAATCCAATTCATAAACTTAAAACACAGTTCATAAATATGCAAATCTAATTTATAAATTTAAAACACTATTTGTAATTTTAAAACAATTTATAAATGTGCAAATCCAATTCATAATTTCAAAAACAATTAATAAATGTGCAAATCTAATTCATAAATCTTAAACACAATTCATAAATACGAAAATCTAATGCATGAATTCAAAATATTATTAATAAATACAAAAAACGAATTTATACATTTAAAATAATTCATAAATGTAAAACCCAATTCATAAATTCAAAACACAATTCATAAATACACAAATCTAATTCTTAAATCTAAAACACAATTCATTAATACGCAAATCCAATTCATAAGTTCATAATAAAATTCATTAATGCGCAAAACCAATTAATAAATTTAAAATAATTCATACATTTAAAACGTAATTTGTAATTTCAAAACAATTCATAAGTACGCAAATCCAATTAATAAATTTAAAACACAATTCATAAATGCGCAAATCCAATTAACAAATTCAAAACAATTAATAAATACACAAATCCAATTCATAAATTCAAAATATTATTTATAAATGTGCAAATCCAATTCATAAATTTAAAACATTTAATACATTGAAAACGCAATTCGTAAATTCAAAACACAATTCATAAATACACAAATCTAATTCATAAATTCAAAACACAATTCATAAATACGCAAATCTAATTCTTAAATTCAAAATACATTCCATAAATACGCAAAACTAATTCACAGATTCAAAACACAGTTTAGAAATACGCAAATCTAATTCACAGATTCAAAACCAAATTCATAAACATGCAAATCCACTTCATAAATTCAAAACAGAGTTCATAAATATACAAATCTAATTCATAAATTCAAAAACCAATTTATAGATGAGCAAATCCAATTCATAAGTTTATAACACAATTTGTAAATTTAAAACAGACTCATGGGTCAGTCATGGCAGGGAAAAATGTAATTTAATGCAGTTTTTCTTGTACAATCTGAGACCCACTTTATATTGGATATCACTCAGCCAGTGGAGATAGCTGATTTTTAAAGAAAACAGGCCTTAAACGAGCCAATTTTGTAATGGCATACAGTTCACCGGAAGCGCTTGACCAAGGTTACTGTCAAATTAAAAGTCCTTTAGCATACATCCGCATATATTCTATTGGCACCATTCATGAGCCTTTAATCAGCAATTCCAATTTACCATTGACCATTAACAATATCAAACATATCATGGGAGAGGAGTTTGAACTCAGGTAGGTTTTGAGAACTGCCCTGCTTGTTAACTTCACTTTTATTATTAAAATATTGCTACTATTACTCCAAAAACATGCGGTTCATATAGGTGAATTGATTAAGATCAATTGTCTGTAGTGTATAACTGTGAATGAGTGTGTATGGATGTTTTCCAGTTCTGGTTTGCAACTGAAAGGGCTTCTTGTCTTTGTGGCTGTACATCAAGATCCCGACAAGGTTTGTTTGAGGTCAGGTCGACCATGGCTTGTAATTATATGTATATATATTATTACTGTGTAATGTCTCAGCTGTGTTTTTAAAAATTGTCTTCTGTGAGTGACGTATCTCTGTTCACCAATAGCGTTCAGTTGCAGTAGGTTCAGTTGCAATAGGTACAGTTGCTTTTAGGTACCCTTTGACAGTGAAAATGACCATAAAAGTGCACCGAACCACACCGTACCACTCAGTGGAAGCGTGCCATTAGTGTATTGAAGTCACATCAGAAATTCCGTTTACAAGTTGCACACTCAAATTCAATGAAAATGTATTAAATTAATTTATGAAAGTGCTCAGTAAAAGTGACTAGAATGCACCTGACTTCATCGTTAGAGTTTGCCCGTGTGTAAATCTCCCATGAGGACTACAATACATCCTATGACGGCCATATTTTTTCATTCACAAACTGATAAACCCTGCATTCCATTGTGATTTAATGCAAATTAAATTTTTATGGCTGTGCTCTGTAATTCCATCTACATTGTCTGCATGGTGGAAATCATAGGGTCCTACAGAATGACAGGCCATCCTCTGTTTGTGTCACAGATGTAACTCATATACTTGTTGTAGTACTAGGGCTCAAGGTCACCATCAGATCAGCGATGAGGATCTTGGGTTATTTGATACACACACCATGCTGTGGAAGCTCCGCTCAGAATAGAAAATGTGTTGTCGAAGAAGCAGCAATTGACCTTTACAGTCACACTGCTTTGTCTGTTTGTCAAATATATAGCAGTGTGTCGCCATTGTGTCTCTGCATTTAAATGAACTCCCTGGAATGCATAATACATCAGTATTACTGCATGGGATCTCCCCGTGAAAGATTAACGATTCAGAGGACTGAATCTGATGCCTTGAGAAATGTATGCTCAGAATCCACACAGCAAAGTGTAGATCATCCTGTTTTATTTGCCATATGACAAATGAGAAAGATGACTGGAGGGTTTGTGGCCTTTAACAAATACATTCAATCAAAACTGCCTACAACAAACATAATAGGTCCTCCTAGAGTGAATCTCTCTGCAACAGAAATAAAAATGTAGGCCCTATATAAAGTTTTTTGGCTTTTTTATGTCAGTTATGGAGATTTTTGGAATGTGATGCTCAACAGTTTGTCAAAGGGATACTCTGAATATCTCAATTGCAATTCACCCCAGACAAAATGTACTCTACATGACTTTTTTCTTCAGATGAACAGAAAAACAATCCATTATTGAGAGATAATGCTGATGAAGCAAGTGAATGGGACTATCAACGTCAATGCTTTAAAAACAAGGTTAATATTGAAGTTTCAGTGTATTATAAATGGTTACTGAAAAAGATGGGGTGTAGTTTCCATTTTGCACTTAAAACTGTTTGGAGTAAAGATCGAAATTGTACATTTAGCGATGAACATTGGAAAATGATTTGCAAAAACTGTAAAGTAATGTCAAGAAATTTAAGAGTATGCTTAATCCAATTAAAAATTTTAAATCGTTGTTATTGGACTCCGAGTAGGATATTCAGGCTTGGGCTGAAGGACTCTGCTGAATGCTGGAGATGTAAAAGCAAAGAAGGAGACTGAATGCATGCCCCGTGGTCTTGTTCTAAAATACCGGAATTCTGGGTTAAAGTGCATTATTACATTCAGGATGTTTCTTGATGCTGCTTTTCGTTTTGTCCTAAAATATATGTACTGGGAGACCTGTTCCTGTTGGGATTTGGTGGGAATATGTCTTAGTGAATTCAAATAAGTATTATGAATGTAAGACAAATCATTATGAGGGGATGGCGTTCAGCAGGTCCACCATTATTTCAAGAATGGGTTACAGAATTGGGGATGGTGGCAGCATATGAAAAAAAATGTCATAGATTTCTAGATAAATTGGATGTTTATCAGAGAAGATGGGGAAATTATTTGACATTTTTGGTGGATGATTTATTTATTATTATTAGATTGTTATTTTATTTATTTATTTATGTATTATTATTATTATTATTATTATTATTATTATTATTATTGTAACACCATGCCAGCAGAGGGAGCCCTCGCCCGACTTCTGACTCAGCGACGCTCCCTCTGTGGCTACTTCCTGTTTGTGCTGTATTTCAGTGAATTTTCAGGCCATGCTTTCTTGCAAAGCATTGCCAGTTTACCTGCCATACCATCTTACTCATTATATCCCTGCCTCCTACCACACCAATGACATAAGCTTTGCTCTTCCTAATAAGTTTGACGGCACAGCTGAACAGTGTAAAGGGTTTTTACGTCAAGTTAAGATTTATATGGAACAACTGGATGAAAAATTTGATTCAGAAGAGAAGAAATGTGCTTTTATGATGACATTGTTGACTGGAAGAGCAATTGACTGGGCCGCAGCAGTGTGGGATTCTGATTTTCAAATTAAAACTTTGTTGAAGTATTTTATTAAACAGATTCGGGAAGTGTTTGAATATCCAGATGGAGTAAAAGGAGTGTCTACCCAAGTGATTAACCTCAAGCAAGGAAACAGATCGGCTGCTGATTATGCCATTGAGTTTAGAACCATTGCAGCTCAAAGTGGATGGAATGATGTGGCTCTGAAAGCGATGTTTGAACTTAGTCTAGATGTGGATCTTTAAACGGAGCTGGCATGCAAAGGTGAAGAGTTATCTTTTTCTGAATTTATCAAGCTGACTATCAAAATTGGTAACCTCATGAGACAAGCACCCCGACTAAGAATAATACAAACATTCATGAGTTAACCTGATCGAGGCATCCTACTGAAATGAGCAGCCCAGAAGAGCCAGTGCAGCATATTAATACATGCTTACCTGAAGAGGAGAAAGAATGACGCCGCTACCTTAAACTGTGTTATTACTGTGGTGAAATGGGACATCGAAGTTTCAAATGCCCCCATAAAACCTGCAACTCTGTTATGGTAAATCTTGAGCATTTTTATCAGTAGTTAGCAATAAGCACTCACACTACCAGTTACCCTGCAGCGTGATCTGTCTTGAATTATCGGCGATGATCGATTCAGGAGCTGCTTTGAATATCATTAGCAAAAATCTCAAACTGAATATCACATCCCCACTCAAGCTTGCATATCACCCATTAAAATCAAGTCAATTGATGATACGCTGATTGGATCTGGAACCACTCACCAAACTCAAACCCTCACTCTCAAAGTTGGAATATTGCATCAAGAATCCATTTCATTCAACATCGTTGATACCCCCAAGTATGAAGTCATCCTGGGATATCCATGGCTGCATATTTATGATCCGGAATTGTCATGGCATTCAGGAAAATTAACCCACTGGTCTGAATTCTGACTTGAAAGATGTATTCATTTGAAACCACAACCATGTCTGACGACCAACATCGAGAGCCCAGAAACTCACAAAACAATAATTATTCCAGAGCGTTACCAAGACTTTTCTGAATTGTTCAGCAAAACTAAGTCAACTCAACTCCCTTCTCATCGCCCCTGGGACTATGCAATAGATTTATTACCTAATGCCATGCCACCTAAGACTCGGGTTTACCCCCTCTCTTACACAAATCCAGGCCATGGATGAGTATATTGATGAGGCTCTGGACTCCGGTCTCATTTACCCTTCTACATCACCAGCTGCAGCAGAGTTCTTTTTTATGGAAAAGAAAGATGGAGGTCTTAAACCATGCATTGATTACAGAGGTTTGAACAATATCACAGGAAAATTACGCTATCCTCTCCCATTAGTCCCCTCTGCCCTTGAACAGCTACATTAAGTCAACATATACACCAAACTTGATCTAAGAAGTGCCTTTAATTTAATCAGAATTTTTGCAGGGGATGAATAGAAAATGGCGTTTATCACCACAAGGGGACACTGTGAATACCAGGCCATGGCCTATGGACTGGCAAATGCTCCGGCTGTCTTCCAATCCTTTATCAACGACATATTTAAGGACCTGATTAATAAGTATGTGGTTGCATACATCAATGACATCCTTATTTACTCTAAGGATGAAGCAGATTATATTATTCACATCAGGACTTTGATGTCAAGGTTACTGGAGAACCAACTATACGTTAAGGCAGAGAAGTGTGAGTTCCATGTTAAACAGACATCATTCCTAGGTTACCACATAAGTCATAATGGAGTGCGTATGGATGAACTCAAAGTCCAAGCAGTCACAGAATGCCCAGTACTCTCTACGATCAAGGAACTTCAGTGATTCCTGGGTTTCGCAAACTTTTACAGAAGGTTCACATAGCACAGTATAGCACAGTAGCTTCACCTATGATGTCATTGCCCAAGGGAAAACCAAAGAAACTGGAGTGGACAGAGGAAGCTAATCAAGCTTTCATTGAGTTAAAGGAACGATTTACCACAGCCCCTTTTCTGAAACATCCAGATCCTAATTCACCATTCATCTTGGAGGTGGATGCCTCAGATCTAAGCATCGAAGCAGTGTTGTCACAAGGGCACAGTACACTAGGTAAACTGCACCCATGTGCGTTCTACTCCAGAAAGCTAACATCAGCGGAACATAATTATGATGTTGGGAATAAGGATTTACTTTCTATGAAGGAGGCTATTGCTGAATGGAGGCATTGGCTTGAGGGAGCCATTTACCCATTCCAAGTCATCACAGATCACAAAAACCTGGAGTATATTAAAAGTTCAAAGTGACTAAACCCCAGACAAGTCTGATGGTCCCTATTGTTCACCGTGTTCCAATTCACAGTTACGTATACACCAGGAAGTAAAAACTGCAAGGCAGATGCTCTTTCTAGACGTCATGACTCCTCTACTGACAACAATAGCACTCACGAAAAAATCCTCCCTCCTACAGTAGTCATTGCACCAGTATCATGGAACATTATGGAAGAAATTCACATAGAACAACAAAATGCAGCTCCGCCCCCTCAGTGTCTACTTAACAAAAACTACGTACCCACAATATTACGCCAAAGAGTCATGCAATGGGTCCATATGTCCATATGTGCAGGTCATCCAGGCATATCACTAACAATACATTTGGTCCAAAACTCTTTCTGGTGGCCACAAATGAGTAGAGACATCACAAACTATGTCAAGTCCTGCCAAGTCTGCGCCCAGTCGAAAACCCAAAGAATTACCCTCAGCACTCCTGAAGCCATTACAACCTGGTCACATCTGTCTATAGACTTCATAACCGACTTACCTCAATCAAACAACTTTACCACAATCCTCCTAATCATTGATAGCTTCTCCAAGTCATGTCATCTGGTTCCACTGCCAAGTCTACCCACAGCCATGGAAACCGCTCACTCTCTATTCCAGCAGAACCCATGGATTACCAGAGGACATCGTGAGTGATTGTGGTACACAGTTTACCTCATAGGTCTGGAGGGCCTTCTGTAAACAGCTAGATATCAACATAAGCCTCACGTCTGGATATCATCCCCAAATCATTGGTCAAGTAGAACGTCTAAACCAGGAAATAGGTTGATACCTCAGGACTTACTGCAGCAGAGAACAAAATTGTTGGTCTGAGTTTCTCCCATGGGCTGAATATGCACAAAACTCATTGACACATTCTTCAACAGCACTTACTCCCTTACAGTGCGTCTTAGGATTTCAGCCTGCACTGTTCCCATAGTCTGGTGAGCCATCTGCAGTTCCAGCAGTTGACGAGTGGATTCGGCGTAGTGAGAGGGTGTGGGACAGTGCCCATGTCAGGCTCCAGCGGGCCATTCGAACACAGGAGTTTCAGGTCAATCGCTGACGTTGTCCAAACCCTCCCTACCAATTTGTTCCAAGTGACTTTCATGACTGCTATCCTGTGTATTTGTACGTGTTTGTTCATTTACATTCTCTGTCTTTGCCCTCTTGATCTGTTTTGGACTGATAGTTGTGATACTGAACTTATGCCTGCACTCTTAGGCCCCGTTTACACTAATGCGTTTTAGTTTGAAAACGCATAAGTTTTGCTACGGTTACTGCATCCGTCCACACTACGAGTTCTCGAGCGCCGAAACGGAGCGTTTCAAAAACGCTGGAGAGGCCGTTTTCATTCTGAAACGCTGCTGCTCCGTCTCAGTGTGGATGAAGGAAAACGGAGACATCTGAAAACGGAGGCGGGGCTGCAGACATTCGCCTCTCTGATTGAGGCTTTTCCTCAATATTAAGTAGCCTAACACACACAGTTCAGTCCTGCATCTTCTCCGTGTAAGTTTAGACTTCGCAAGTTTCATCAAGGCTGCAGTCTCTTCTTTTCAGTTTGATATGGAAAACAAACCGAGGACACGGGTAAATCTTCAAAGGGAACAGTGTACTTTATAACTTCATTCACATCACCCTGGCTACGTTGTTTCACTTTCTCAACAATAAAATGTAAACATGATATAAGGAACTGCCTATTTTCATTTTAATATTAACAACTTAACAGACAGCAGAAATGTTGAGGCGCCGTGCTGCATATTTGAGCATCATCTTCACTGTGTGGATATTTATAACAAAACGGAGCCGATAACAACGGCCTCCTTTCAATTTCAGTGAAAATACGAAACCCTCTCTTTTGCTGAATATCAGTTTTAATAATCGATAATGACCATTATAAAAGTATAACATACAATAAGTTTATACATTATAGGAAATAAAGGCAAGCGATCAGTCAATATACAGCATGTACGTGCTTACATTAATCATTAACTTATCTTTGCGCTCAGCCAAAACACGTTACCTGAGAACAAGTAATAGATTCCAGTGACCAAAGTCAGGGAATATGTCGTTAGATACAGACAACAAGATGAATGAAATATCACGTTTAATAAATATAGTGAGATTAGATCCAGCGGGAGATGCTTGATGAGAAGTCCGACTAGCATAGCTCTCATCTGGGTAGATTGGCTGCAGCGCTTGCCTGAGAGTGTGTGTGTGGTCACGTGATGTGCGTTTTCAGCGTTTTGGTGTGGACGGAGAGCTGTTCAGAAACGCTGGGTAAAACGCGAGTGTGGACGCGGATCGTTTTCATTCTAAAACGCCGTTTTAAAACTAAAACGCACTAGTGTAAACGGGGCCTTACTTCGTTTTATGGATTTGCCCCTGTGTTTGTTAAATATTTCATTATTTATTTATTTATTATTGGATTGTTTATTTATTTGTTAATCAATTAATTAATTAAGCATTGTTATTTTGTTTTTTTATTTGTTTATTTATTACTATTGCATTGTTATTTTATTTATTTATTTATTTATTTATTTATTTATTTATTATTGCATTGTTATTTTATTTAGGCGATGCAGTGGCGCAGTAGGTAGTGCTGTACCACAGCAAGAAGGTTGCTGGTTCGAGCCTTGGCTGGGTCAGTTGGCATTTTTGCGTGGAGTTTGCATGTTCTCCCTGCTTTCGCGTGGGTTTCCTCCAGGTTCTTCGGTTTTCCCCACAGTCTAAAGACATGCGGTATAAGTGAATTGGGTAGGCTAAATTGTCCGTAGTGTATGAGTGTGAATGAGTGTGAATGAGTGTGTATGGATGTTTCCCAGAGTAGTTTGCATCTGGAAGGGCATCCGCTGTGTTAAACATATGCTGGATAAGTTGGCGGTTCATTCCGCTGTGGCGACCCCGGATTAATAAAGGGACAATGAATGAATGTTATTTTATTTATTCATTTATTTTTACTATTATTATTTTCTGTATGTGTGTTTTTTTATTTGAGTTTATAATATTTTTCTGTATGTACTGGATTTATTATAGCAACATCTAATTACAGTCACTGCCGCTTTTGTGAAGGGCAGGGAAAAGGGGGTGTTAAAAAGAAGTAAAAAAATTGTAAACTGATGGTTCTGTTAAATTATTGAAGAAAATAAAAGATTTGAATCGTAAAAAAGAAAAAAGAAGTAAATTCATTGAGAGTAATGCAGCAAATGGACAGTAACTCAAATAACAACTTTTATTTCAGATTGTAGCAATAAGAAATTACTTTGCAATTACACAATTACATTGTAGCTGTGTGTATTCAGCATTTGTTCATTCATTCATTCATTCATTTTCTTTTCGGCTTAGTCCCTTTATAAATCTGGGGTGACAAAAAAATGATCCAGCATTGGTTTTATGCAGCGGATGCCCTTCTAGCTGTAACCCATGACTGGGAAACATCCATACACACTCTTTACCACACATACACTATGGACAATTTTAGCATACCCAATTCACCCATACCACATGTCTTTGAACTTGTAGAGGAAACCGGAGCACTTGGGGGAAACCTACGCCAACACAGGAAGAAAGGCAAACTCCACACAGAAATGCTTTTTGCTGTGAGGCAATTGTGCTACCCACTGTGCCACTATTGTTCTTGCATTGGAGTGACCTGTGGTTAAGTACATTGCTTGAGTTCACAGCCTTGAGGAAACTGGACTGGGATCTCAGTACCTCTCCAGTGTCTGGGTTACCTTTGCTCTTGAACTTGCAATGCTTGTTATTAATTGGACAATCCTTTGTGTGAAGGTCACATTTTGACATTTTTTTTTTGTTTAAATGTTCACCAGAGGACAAGCAGAAGAAAAGAAAACATCAGAAAGGCAAGGTAGAGACAGAGGGAAGTACCCTGCAGCGCTCCAAAACCTTTGTCAGCTTGCTCTTTAAAAGTGGACGCAGAAGGGAAAGGTCATCGTCTAGAGACCGGAAGGACACAGGAAGAGAGGACGGACACAAAGGAAGATCCAAATCCCCAAAACATTTAGATAACGAACCGGGTAAGTCCATATGCAATATGTGGTTTACCAGAATGTTGTTGAGGGCTTCATTCTGCGGATACTTGGGAATATCAAAGATGAACATATTTGCATTTGAAAAGCCTAAAAACAGCATAATGAGTTTTTAAGGAGGCTAAATCAGAGAGCTGCTTCACTGTACACTGTTCTGCGGTAATTCCCTCGGAGTGGCCTTGAATCCGACCCCTGTGGTTTTGCTCAGCTAATGATGAATTGCATAGCTGTCTTCTATACAGTGCTTACTGCAGCAGCACACAGACTTAAAAAGGTGTTAGAAGCAAATCACATCAGAATGTTGTAACCTTGACATGTTAAGGTTTTTGTGATATGTGTAACTAAATTCTATATTTTGAAAGAGACTGTTGCAGTCACTAGAGCTCAGAGACTGGCTCCATCTCTTGTGTCCTCAGGTAAAGAGCGGGGTCGACCCATTATTAACCTATTGAGTTCTCCCAGAGAGACTCGTGCTGGTTTGAGGGAGCAAAGCCCGATGCCTAGCCCGGAGACCATGGCTTTGTTGGAGGACGTGGCACGCAAGCTGCTCAATGAGGACGAAGTGGCTGCTGTCATGAGACACTGTAAAAGGGTAAGCATTTATGATTTAGACAGATACTTCTTTCATTTTCTAAATGTTGAGGCAAATAACTAATAAGATTTCTGATTAATACATCTGTCATGCTTACAAACGAGTCCAGGAAACTAACATTTTGACACAGCTCCTAATGGCAGTGGTGAGGAGTAGGTACGGGCCGGTATAAGATTCAGAGGGTATGATAACCTTGGATAAAAATATCATTTTGTGATTACTGCTCTAAAATACGTTCTTTTTAAATGTCTGTGTAAAAATTGACAACTTTTTATACCCATTGAACTAATATTTAAAACATTTAGTCACAGTAAACATGTCAGGCTAAATAATTCAAATAAATCATTGACTTCTACTGTCTTCACTTATTTCAAAAACACAGATTTTTAACAACTTGAAAAGGCATCTTTGGATCATCTTGTCTTGTCGATTGTCTTTTATTCTAGATATAAAGTATCTATATATGATCAAACTCACTCTAAAAAACAAATCACTTATAAGCCAACATCCAAACATGCTATAGATCTGGGGTGCATTTCCGAAAACCATCGTTAGCGAACAAAGGTCGCAAGTTGCGTCGTTACAAATATAGTTTGTTGATTTGGTGTTTCCCAAATCCATCGTTCCAATGAACATTCACAAACTGCGTCGGAAAATTGTGGGAATGCAACTACACCTAGAGAGCAGTAGTTAAAAGCATTAAAATAATCATAGGTCTAATTTACTTTAAATATTTTTTAGAGTTTTAGTGATTTTCATATTGAAAAATTGCTTTCCCTTTGCAGTGCACTTTAAAGGCCATTATGACATTTTGAACGCAGCCATGGCTTATAAGAAAAGCTATAGGTGATCTATTATTTAAAAGCTGAATTTATGTTATGTCTCCAAAGCTTGTGAATACAAAAAATATATAGCATATGTTAATGCTTTTATTTATAGTGGGTTATTTTAAGAATCTGTACTGAATAGAGTTGAAGTCAGAATTATTAGCTCCTCTTGAATTTTTTTTTCTTTTTTTTTTTAATATTTACCAAATGATGTTTAACAGAGCAGGGAAATTTTTGCAGTATGTCTGATAATTTTTGTTCTTCTGGAGAAAGTTTTATTTGTTTTATTTCAGCTAGCATAAAAGCAGCTTTTAATTTTTTAAAATTAATTTTAAGGTCAAAATTATTAGCTCCTTTTAGGCTATATATATATTTTTTTTTCGATAGTCTACAAAACAAACCAACATTATATAATAACCTAATTAACCTAGTTAAGCCTTTAAATGTCACTTTAAGCTGTATAGAAGTGTCTTGAAAAATAGCAAGTCAAATAATATTTACTGTCATCATGGCACAGATAAAATAAATCAGTTATTAGAAATTAGTTATTAAAACTATTATGTTTAGAAATGTGTTGAAAAAATCTTCTCTCCATAAAACAGAAATAGGGGAAAAAATACACACGGGGGCTAATAATTCTGACTTCAACTGTATGACATGGGCCTGTTGGTTGGAACATTTCTCCAGTGGTTTGAATGTGCCAAATTGTAAAAGTAGACTTTTACAATATATAAAATAAAATAAATAAATAAATAAACAAGATCCTAAATAAAAAAAATATTATTATTAAGTGATATTTTTTCTTAATTTATTAATAAAAAGCCTACTGTAAATCACAACCATTCATTATTAATTTATTATTTTGTGGTTTCCCCCACAATCCAAAGACATGTGGTACAGGTGAATTGGGTTGGCTAAATTGTCCGCAGTGTATGAGTGTGTGTGTGAATGTGTGTGTGGATGTTTCCCAGAGATGGGTTGCTGCTGGAAAGGCATCTGCTGCGTAAAAAAACAAAAACCTGCTGGATAAGTTGGCGGTTCATTCCGCTGTGGCAACCCCGGACTAATAAAGGGACTAAGCCGACAAGAAAATGAATGAATGAATGAATGGATGAATGTTTTTTCCCAAAACTAATATTGCATTTTTTTAAAACAATATAATTTGCACTAAAATTGTGGGTTTTTTCTCTATATAAGTTGTTACTTCACCCCATTCAGAGCATATATATGGACGTTTTACATTATAACAAATGTTCAAATGTTCAAATGACGGATCTGCGACAGAGAAACTGCAGTTTTGGGAAACACTCGTCAGTACGTCGTACTTTTCTTGTGGCTTTCTGCACTGTTTAGCTCTAAAGCATGTTTGGATGTTGGTTTATAAGCGATTTGTTTTTCAGATGTTTGCTGAATCATAAGTTGACCAGTAGCATTTGATTTAGAGAGACTTTTTCTGCTGCAGATAGTGTTTCTTTAAAAAACTAAATAAAATTGGCGTAAAAACTGATTATCATCCCATGCATATTGAGGATTTATCAAACTCCTACATTAATTCATATGCTACTCATCAGGAATGAGAAGTAATAGAAAACATGTAACTTATAATGTTAGGTATACATTCATTCATTCATTTTCTTTTTGGCTTAGTCCCTTTATTAATCCGGGGCCACCACAGCGGAGTGAACCGCCAACTTATCCAGCATAAGTTTTTACGCAGTAGATGCCCTTCCAGCTGCAACCCATCTCTGGGAAACATCCATACACAATCATAGACTACTGAAAATTTAGCCTGACCAATTTACCTGTACCACATACTGTATCTTTTGGACTTGTGGGGGAAAACGGAGCACCCGGAGGAAACTCACACGGACATGGGGAGAATATGCAAACTCCAAACAGAAACACCAGCTGACCCAGCCGAGGCTTGAACCAGCGACCTTTTTGCTGTGAAGCGAACATGCTACCCACTTTGCCACCTTGTAGCCGTCATGTTAGGTATTTAAAATGCAAACATACAAATAATTGTATTTTGTCATCCTTGCATTTTAAATAGTGGTAATCAAATTACAATTACATCCAATAAAGTATTTTAGATTATGAAAGTTAATACTTTTAATATATGTAATTTCATTATGTAAACATGAGGATTTCAACCAATAAGCCAACTGATTCTTCATTTAAAAAACTCAGTGTAGTGTAATCTATGCCTTCCTGCATTAAAAATTCGATCAGCATTGTAGGATTTAGTGTCCAGTCTGGAAAAGCATGAAGTAGTTTTTGATCTTTGAACATTTTTCTTTATCATATTTTAAGCGTTAAAATGCTATCATTACATTTAATATTTATAAGTGCTTAATTGAAAAAATTATACTGATTACTTCTAGAATTCTGTTTGCATTCAATTATCAGATACATATGACTTATATATGAAATTAAAGTGTATAAAGTTAAACGATAGCTTTGTGGCAAACTTGAAGTCTTCATTTTAAAGGTTGGCACATTAATGTGAATATATAATCCCATTTGTCTTGAAGACATGATTCTTTTGTGTCAATATTAATTGTTTATTTTGTTCAATCAAACCAGTGAAAATGATGAGATACTTTGGTTTTTTGATTAAATTGCACAAATAGCTTCTTTGTCAATTTTGACTTGCAATTATTTTGCGTTCTTCTCTTTTACATAGACGCGATTATCAGGAAAGTCATTTAAAGTTTATCATTTAAAGTTTGGTCCATTCATTAAACAAATCTATTGATAACTTGATTACCTGAATGCTGAATACTTTTATGATATGTTTGGCGTATTTATATGTTTGGTTTTAATTTGAAGTTTAGAATGTAGCATGAAAAAGCACCGAATCTTATTTATTGTTGGGTAACACTTTACTGTTAGTTAATGCATTTACTAACATGAACAAGCCATGAACAATATATTTGTTAGTAAGTTAATGTTCGTTAATAAAAATACAATAGTTCATTGTTAGTTTGTAGTAACTCATGATGTATTAGTTAATGTTAACATGCATGCATTTGGATGTTAAAGTGATATAATACATTAAAAAGGGTCATATTTTGGTTTTAAGGGTCTCCAACAACTGGCTGATATGCGTGCAAGATCAAAAAACACTTTAATTGTTTTTTTTATAAACAAAATAATATGCATTTATTTTTACCTAATAATCCTAGCGACTCCCAGGTATTTTTGCAAAAATACACCTCAACCACTGACTCTTCACAGTTTCATCTTTGGATAGAGAAAATAACACTAACTTTCCCCTCACACTTCCAATAATATCCAGCTGAGCACATCGTCTTCACGACTTGACTCATCCGGGATCTGCTACAATGTTTGTCTGTTTATGGGCGGGGCTGCAGGTTTCAATTTTCCTGTGTTTGCGTGCGCATTAATTGGGCAGGTCTTAAGTTTCGTATCGATGCCATGCCGAAATGGCTAAAGACTTGTTTTTAAGACGAATCATTAGAAGCACTATGAGTCGACTCTTATAAATGAATCAATAGTTTTAAACACCATGCACTTTCAGATTTAAGCCTTAACTGGATATTTCACTTCACTTAGAGCTGTGTTTCACACTACATGGAAGGTCATTTTTTAAAAACCCATAATAGGAGCTCTTTAATGATGCAAAAGTTAATGTTGAATTATGATTAATAAATGCTAAACAAGTATTGTTCATGACTAGTTTTTGTCAGTAAAGACAATAACCAATAAACTCCTATTGCAAAGTGTGACCCATTTGTGTTACATTGCTTACATATTTCTAAGTATTTTAGAGTATTTAGATTCCTAAACGTTTTAGTTCCTAAACGTGAGCTATCTAACAAAATACATTACTAATTATGCTTTACAGCATATTTTGCAATCTGTAATAAAATACATTTTAAAAGTAACCTGTTCAGCTCTTCTCACTAGTATTTATGTGCAATTGGATTATTTTTCGGCCTTGTGTTCTAATAATGCCTGGTCCATGATTTAGCCTTAATTTTTAACTTCACAAGCCACTGATCAGTGTCTGAAATCTGAGTGCTCATTCACATCACGTTGTATGACTTTATCAAAGACACAATCTGAAAGAAGCATCAGTGCATTTCTGATCCCTGTAGTGTGAGAACAGTGATGCCTTTTAAAATTATCCAGCCTGTTTCTGGCCTA